AATTTGCAGTGCCGTTAACTGCCAAATGTGGTATGAGTTCTGCAAAAAGTGCTTCACATTCAGTTCAGAGGGAGGTGGACATATACATAGATTCATTTTCCCTTAATTCTTGGTTAAATAAATTGCTTATGGGGAAGGACAGAGCTTTGATTAGACTGGAGTTAGAAACTCTGGGAGAAGTGTTTGTAAACATCTCCAGATGTGGAGGCATACCTCTCCTGTAAGATTATGCTGTGTGTTTCTCAGTCTCAAATAGACTCGCTCATCTGTGTATTAAAATTCTTTCAGTAGTCCAGACCATTCTGTGGTTTGTTTCAGAAGAGGCGTGCGTAACTGTCATGTCTAACTCATGGATGGAATAGCTTAAAGTATGAGGACATGCAGAGTCATTTCAAGTAAAATGCAGTGGTTATTATGCAGAACAGTCAGAAGGTTATACTTCAGTCTGTAGTTGGTTGGTGACTATCACTGCGAAGTCAGAGAGTTGTGCTTGTTTGCTTGTTTGCTGCTTTCATTTCAGGTCTTCCATAAAATTAAGGCACAAAGATACTTTTTTTTGAGAGCTGGAAATGAACATTAAGGATTATTTTAAAACTGTCCTGTTTGATAAGGATAATAAGATTAATTTTATTCTTTGGGCCAAAGTATCTGCCTAAATGTACTTGAATTTTTTGGGTCTGATACCCTTTCTATCAAAAATACATGTTTTTTTTTCTGTAACTTCTACATGGGAATGAATGGGAGTACATGGGAATAAATGAAAAGGGGGAAATAATGTGCAGTTGTATTCCTTCTATTCGTGTGGGCTTTTAAGCGTATTTTGTTTCAAGAAAGAGTGTCATGATTAAAGATGAGATGCTTATTTGTCTGAGTGGTGAAAGCTGGGCTGTACATTGATGGCTATAAGATTACTATTTCATTCTGGAATTCACTTTAGAACTATCATAAGCATCCAGTCTATCAGGTAATAAAGGGAAGCAGCAGTAGCAGATGTAGTGTGTTATCCTTAGCATGAAGAGTGCATGCATTCCACTCTGTGATACTTTGTTAATTACTACAAAATGAAAGAAAGCCAAGATTGCATCCCTAGCTTTGAACAATATTATTGGGTGCATACCCACTCCAGATGTGTCACTGCCTGCCCACAGATTACTTCTAATCCTGGATTCACTGTGACTGTTCCTTGAAAGTTTGTGCCGTTGCTTTATCTGCTTGCCTTTTAAGAGGTCCTGTTTAGGCAATATGGAAGTTATTCATCTTACTGCCTATAAGCAAAGCCATTTCTTAATTGTTACACAAGAATCTGTGTTGTTTTTTGTGTGTTTATTTTTTAATTTTTTTTTTTTAACCTGAACAGGTTAAGGGATGATAAAGGAGTTTCATTATATACTTTGAATCATTAGTTTGTTCTGATATCTAGTCATCTGTGTACTGTGCTTATGCAAGACCCTTTAGAATATTTTTTGTTCCAGCGTGCTTAAACAGCTCAGGAGAACTAAAGGACTTAATACTTACTATTATTTTAATTTTCACTTGTTCTGTGAGAGTGGGTAATCAGCAAAACAGTACATGTACTCCAGTATTTGGGTATCCCCTTTTTTAATTTATTTTTTATTTTGTAATTTTTAGCATACACTTAGCCAGTATTGCACATGTTCAACAGGGTGTAGAGTTGTTTTTGTTTTTTGAAAGAAGTGTACTAGCAAAAATCTGTAGTTCATCAAGTTATTACATCTCCAGTCCTAGAGGACATATCCTCTCTGCTGGTGAGGCCATGCAAGCAGTAAAATATTCAGTGGTAACAGGCTAGTTAATGTAATTACTCTGAAGTAGAGGGTGTAAAAGCAAAAGCATTCGTTTTAATTTTGTGTTCATAGTCATCTTGGTTTTTATTTCCTTCCTGTTTTGTTTGGGGTTATATAAATGAAAATATGTCTTTAAATTTTTGCATGGTTTCAGGTTTTATGTAAATGTGTTTATGAAAGGCAAGAGAAGAGGACTGATGCAGTAACCACATTAGATGTATGTTTGCTGAAGTCAGCATAACAGTAAATTCTACTCTAATGTGTTCTTTAATGTAAAAATTCATGTAGGAACACTGCTATTTTTTTTTAATTTAATTCTGCATCTTCATTAGCTTATAACAGAGGCATCAGATAGGATCCATGATCATCCACTTTTGTTTTAAGCTGGCCCAGTTTAGATTACTGTCTTTGTGAAGTGGGAGCTGTCATAATGTTAATATTTAATCTTCCTAATTGTGTTTAGATCAGCTGTTGAACAGATGTATTGGAGGACTGGTCTGTTTGAATGCACCTTTCTCTGCATGTCTTGACAATGGTGGTATTTGAATAGAAGTATTTCAGAAGAAGGAGTTATTAAGTGTGTGTATATATATATATATATATATTTTTAGACTGCTTATGTATGTCCCAAATGAACTGAAGTAACTTGGAGATTTGGTGCTCTACAGTTACAACTTAAATGTATAGCCTATATTTTAAGTTCAGTTTTTAGGAGCAGTAGAGCTTCAATTTTTATATGTGTCTCTAGATCTTGAATAAATAGATGGACTATGCAGATCAGGTATTGATTGTACAAGCATCAGTGTGATCGGTAATCTCAGAGTGGATTTGAAGTATGGCTATGTAATGAAAGTCTGCCCAGGTGTCTTACCTCAGTGAGAAGGATGGGCCTAAACTTGACAAGAAATGGCTTAGAATTTGTTTCCCTCAGCTGAGAACTCCTTTGTTCTGCTGATTCTTATGAAATAAGTACTGTTTTCTATTGTGACCCTAATGTAAAAGGCATTGAGGATACAGTAGATGCTTTTAAACATTTACATTAATGATTCTATATACCTTTTAATGTATATTTTTATTACATATTTGATTGCCATATTGTACTTATAGGAAAGGAATTGATAAAAGCTGGAGCTATTTGTGTAGAAACTCGTAATTTCTAGTCCAGATAATGTTAATCAGAAGTTATCTTTTTCTTTCTAGAGTTCATGATTAAAATACAGCATGTTGAAATAATCTCTGATCTAATCAGAACATCTGAATCCTTTTTGTAGAATATGGCAAACAGCTGCATTTCAGTCCGGGGCTAAAACAAATACCATCTATTGACCCATTGAAGATTACAGTAGGCTTTTCAGTTCCATGTTAGCTGTACTTATTGAAGAAAATTGATTTGAGAGTGCTTCTGCTTTTGAAAGATTTTTTTTTTTTAATGTCCGGAAGAAAGGAAATAGAACATACGGATGATGGAACTTTGATGTGTAAAGAAGTTAATTATCTAAACCATCAAACAAAATGTGGGCTGTGGAAGTAATTATTGTAAAGGGTCTGACAAAGCCTGACAAGCTCTTGGTTTTTTTATGTCGAGAAAATGCTGTACACCTGCTTGATTTGAAAGTTAAATCATTTGGTTGCAATAGGAAGACCAAGTTTTTAGGGAAGCAGTAGTTGATAAGCTTTCAGCTCCCCAACCTGCTGATGCTCACACAGATGTACAACCCTTCAAGTTTTTTTAATTAAACTGGTCTTGTCCACGTGGAGGACAGGAACCTTAAAAAGTATTCACTCCAAAATCGGACACACATGAATCGCAAATGTTACGCTGTGAGGAGGCAACTGTGGAATTGTACCACGTTTCTTGGGAATTTTGGGAGAATGCTTCTGAAGTTATTAGACAGAACTACATGGATAAAGCAAAATGATTGCCATGGATATTCAAAGAAAATAGCTATATGCTTTAAATGATGCAGTTTACAAAAAAAAAAACAAAACCCAAACCTTTAGTTGTCATATGTTATTTAATTTTTAAGCTTTAAGGCGTATATGATAAGTATGTTCCACGGCTTTCTCTACAGTTGTTTTAGAAAGTATTAACTGAGCTGGTCCCCTATCTACTTTATCTGGGGTCTGTGTAAAATTGTACTAATTTATATTTAGGAATATTGGTACTGTGATATTGGGTATAAATAGACAAACTGCTAAAATAAATCTTAATCAGTCCCAATCAAATAATGAACAGTAAAATGTATATAAATTTCTAAATCTTTGGGTTGGTACCATTGGAGCTGCTTCTTCATGCCCTTTCATGTGTACCTAGAACTTTGTTGGAAATACTGTCACCTTCCTGTATGTTCTAAAAGTTTTTTACTTAAAAAAAATATTAAAACCCCCACTAATTTGACTGTTTGGATTATATGACTCTCTCGTAACTGCTGATTATTGCAGGATCCTGCCATCACTTAAGCCTGGTGTGTAACTACTCATATGATTAAAATCAGACTTCAGTGGGAGTAAACTTTGTGATTAAAGTTACACATGTGCAGAAGTGCTTGCAAGGATGGGGATCTAAATTAGAATCTGCCTGAAGATGAAGAGAAGTCTGTGAAAAGCTCTTCTAAAGCATTAATAAAAAAACAACTTAGGACATCAAATTGGCTAGGAGCTTCAATCTGCTTGAGGTAGGAAAGCTCTACAGAGGATTTGGATGTGCTAGGACTGTGGGCTAAATCCAGTCGCCTGAAGTTCAACAGGGTCAAGTGCTGGGTCCTGCACTTGGGTCACAAAACCCCCATACAATGCTACAGGCTTGGGGAAGAGCGGCTGGAAAGCTGCTCAGTGGAAAAGGACCTGAGGGTACTGATTGACAGAGCTTAACATGAGCAGCTTGTGCCCAGGCAGCCGAGAAAGCAAGTGGCGTCCTGGCCTGTATCAGCAATAGCCTATCCAGCAGGGCCAGGGCAGTGATCATCCTCCCTGTGGTGGGCGCTGGTGAGGCTGCACCTTGAATTCTGTGTTCAGTTCTGGGCCCCTCACTACATGACAGATATTGAAGTGCTGGAGCGGGTCCAGAGAAGGGCAGTAAAACTGGAGAAGGGTCTGAAAAACAAGTCTCATGATGAGCAGCTGAGGGACCTGCGGTTGTTTAGTCTGGAGAAGGAGGCTCACGGGGGACCTTGTCACTCTACAACTACAGGAAAGGAGGTTGTAGCAATGTAGGAGTTGGTCTCTTCCCCCAGGTAACCCAGTAATAGGATGAGAGGAAACGGCCTCAGGTTGTGCCAGGGGAGGTTTAGATTGGATATTGGGAAAAATTTCTTCACCAAAAGGGTTGTCAAGCATTGCAGTGGGCTGCCCAGGGAAGTGGTGGAGTCACCGTCCTTGGAGGTATTTTAGGTATGTGGCACTTAGAGACATGAGCTAGTGGTGGACTTGGCAGTGTTAGGTTAATGGTTGAACTTAAGATCAAGTCTTCCAACCTAAATGATTCTCTGATTCTACCAGAATGCATAAGCTTTTTATTTTTGTCATTCATCCGGGTGCTGTTACGTCATTAGCATTTTTAAAGCACTAATTCTTTCCTTACTTCTTGGAGGTATCTTATGTACTTAAAATTATTACAAGTTTTCTTAAACCAAAGCATATTTGTGATTGATTGCAATGCTTTTAATGGTTTTTAATGTAAATCTGATGATTTAGTTTGGTAGTTTTAGATTGTTTTTTGGAAATGAAACCTATCTTAAGACTTAAGAGTGAAGAAAGGTAGAAGCCCTTAAGAGATTTTGCAGCAAACTATTGACACATGGTTTCATTGTCATTAAAACCATTACTACTAATAGTACAAGAAATGAGCAGTGCAGCTCAACTGTTACTAGTATGCAGCAAACTAGAAGAGGAAGAAGTGTAGTGGGAATATATCCTGGTTATCAGGAGACTTACATGGTGTGTTCTTTGTTTAAAAATATTTTGAAGGGAAAAATAGAAGTTCCTATTACAGAGTTTTCCATAATAAAACAGATATTGATTTGTCAGACTTTTATTAAGTTAGTTTTTAAAAAGTAATTGTTTAAAGCCTTTTGATTTGCATTAAAGAAGAAAAAAGAGATGCATTAATTGCATCATAGAATAAGAGTAGAATTATCCTGGGTTTGTTTGGAGTTTTTTAATGAGAAGTTTGCATAGAAAAGCTGTAAAATACTTTGTATAAAGATAGAACCTTCAATCATATAAGTATTATGATAACATTCAATTCCCACTCCTAGTGCATTTCTGTTTTAGAGACTTAAGTAATATATATACATAAAGCTGGTGTTTCAGAAATGAAGGTTATGATCTCAGTGCTTAATTGATGTTTTTTTCTGGCTTTTTCTGAGATTCTGCTTTACTCCTGTTAGTCTCAGTGGAGATGGTATGGATGTGATTTTTTAGTGCTTAGGATACTGCAGGAATATAAGAGGATGTTTTGGGTAGCAAGATACTGGTGCCTCTGAATACTATGTATGTATCTTAGTGCTTTTCCTAGGGTACCTCTCCTGTTCAAAAACAGTGCATGTTTCTAGTACTTTGGTTATGGTAGACATCAACACTCTTACATTTTGCACAGTGTTGCAGACAGGCTTCTTTCTGCATGCAGTGCCCTTATGTTCACGTCTACCCCATATAAGCTTTCCTTCCTTTCCTATGCCTAGTGTGAAAAATTCATAAAATATAAGTATTGTAAGTGTTCTTATTTCTTGTTTACTCAGATGAGCAGCACTGTGGCTAGCCCGATGTCAGCACTTGCCTCTTCAAGCAGTGGGAGAAAATCTACAAGCTTTACGCCTGAGTTGCAGAGTATGATGTAAGTAATCACTCAAAATACGTGGTAATATCTCCATTTTCTATGCATCTTTTAGGTGGTTTCTTAGAACGTGTGTATAAGGATGATAAGGCAGCAGTGTTAGTGACAGAACTGTTAGTGTTTTACTTCTGATTTGTAAAACCTTCAGAGGTGTCTTGGATAAATAGCAAACACATCGAGTATTGAAAGGAGAGAAAATCCTGCTGAGTAAAGAAATGCCATTTTAGTATTGCTTTAGATGTCTTTAGAGACCTCTGTTTCTCAGTCCTTCATCAAAGAAAGCTAAGCTTCCCTTTGTCATATATGCTTATGTAAATAAATATTTTTTATTAACATCTGTCAGTGCTAATACAAAGAAGTAGACTGCTGAGGTAATATTACTGATGAGATCAGGATATGGAACATGTGCAAATAACTGGGTTTTGGCAGATAGGATGCACAGTTGTTAAAAAGCTGAGTTATTTATCATTGTAAATGGACAGTGGATTCTTTGAAACCCAGTTCCGAGATGTGATATTACATGTTTTTGTAGTTTCTGGCTTCTAAAACCTTGGATGTTATTTAAGCAGGTGGGTTTTGTCAGTCTTAAAGATACATGCATAATCAGAAGGATTCCTTCTGCAGAAGAAGTCTTTATCTTGACTGGTAACTTACCACACTGGGCTGACTTCAAATCTTCGTTTTGTAGAAGAGCTACACATTCATCAGAAAGTTTGACCTACCACTACAGAGCATTTTTTTAGCTTTTCTATGTGCATCTGAGATACCATGCTGCCAGAATTGGGGGGAAAAAGGGAGGGGAAGTAAGGAGCTTGTTTCCGTGTGGATTTGTGCTCCTGATTTATCAAACACTTAAAAGAATGTTTCAAACTACACCTGAAAGAAATCTATCGTCTAAAGGCTGCAGATGGAGAGCTAGGCTGTAGTGGGTTATGTCTAAATCATACACAAAAAAAAAATGATTGTGAATGTTACTTATGGAGTTGGGGGGAGAGGATGCATGTGTGCCAGTTGCTGAGGTCAGCTGCACATAAAAGAGAGCTTTGCTTTTATGAAGTCTTGCAAAAGCATCTTAAAAGATTTTCCCCTGTGTTCATTTGTCAGAGTTGAAAATGAAATGGAGAAAGCTAGTCCCAGAGTACTGAGACATAAATCTATGGTTTCAAAAGATGATAGTAGTGATCACTGTCCATTTGCACTAAGGGCTTGGCTCTGAAAGACTGTCCAGGATGTTGTTTAACATGGGCTGAGGTAAATAAGGACAGACTGAACTGTGAATTCAGTGGTTTTTCAGTGGGTTTTAAGTGATCCTAGCAGTATCTGAAAGTTCCTTTTTACTGTGTTGGTGCTGTTTCATTATATGTTTTTTAATTCATTTTTAATCAGCAATTTAGAAGTCAAAACAGTTCCAGCATCTACCTTCTGACTCATGACTGTGTTTTAATGACAGGGAAATTTTATTTATTAAAATTATATGTGCATTCTGGCTTACCATGATACTGTCCTTTTGTCATTTTACTTTAGGTCATTAATTGTTGAATGGCTATTAGTATGTTTCCATGTGGGTTTTAATATATGGCCTTGTGTGAGTCAGAATTTTTAGATAGTCATATCTGAAATGTTTCACTCTCCTTCCCCTTTCCATTATGTAAGAACTGAAGATTAGGATAGGAAGAATGGTCAAGTTTGACTTTTATTTATATATTTATAAATATTTATAAATATTTTTCTGCCGGTTGCCTTCCATAGCATAAAGATGTTAAAGTGTTTCAGGCCTCTACAGATGGTAATTATTTATCTTTATAAAACCTGCATTTGGCTTTTTAACAAAATAGAAATAGTTAACATTTTAGTATTGCTGCACCACACTAGATACTCTTTGGTTTTACTTCTTTTGTACTTGTGTGGGAGTTCACTTAGGAGTAAAAAGGTGCTTTAGGTCACTTCAGGCTACATTTGAGCTGCATTTTTTGCCTGTTTTGTCTTGGTCAGTTATGGATTTAAGAATGTTAAATATTGAATCTTTTCCATGTTGTGTGCTGAGTCCCACATCTTCCTTGAGTCTCTCACACTCAACCTCTTCCTAACAAGTCCCCTCTGGCTCCTTGCTCCTACTTTTAGGAGATACAGGCTTCTACACAGATTGAATGGTCATGAGAGTAATGCTCTCTTGCCTGTTCTGTCATGTGTTGGTTTACTTTTGCTGTCATGTACCAATGTCTGATTTGAATTGCTATATGGGTAGTAGATATGAAGGGAATTACTTGCCTCCTTTAAATTCTATGTAGAAGGTTTTCCTGTCCAAAAGTAGAAGATGCAATTTTTTTTTAGTTAAGCATCCTTGAGAGACTACTAGGTTGTTGTTAAGTAGAGTATGGGATACATTCTACTGCAGTATCTGTAGTATAATGTAAATGCCACAATAATGAACTGTTTCCTGTGAATTGAATCATAGAATAGTTAGGGTTGGAAAGGACCTTAAGAACATCTAGTTCCAAACCCCTGAATCTTCTGAAGTAGACGAGTACTTTGTTACAAACCCAGTGGTTTGCTCTACTGAGTTCATTCAGGTAGAAAAATACTAGTTCTCACCTTCAAGGGAATTCTGTTTAGTTAATCACATCTATTATGGTCATCTACACTGGAAAATATAAGGGTCGTTCTTGGTGGTGAAAATAACTGTAAATGTGTTTAAAAAAAACAAAAGTCTGTGAAGTTTTGAAGCAAAGAAGTATATTCATCAGTTTGGATCAGTATCTGCAGTGCCTGTATTTTATTTAGTTGTGGACTTCCTGATAAAGTATTTTGAAACTACCATCCTTGCCAGTATACACATGATTCTGTCAGAATGCAGAAGTTATTATTGGCCATATAAGTGGAAGAAATAGACATTTCCCTTTTGCTTCAGAACTGGTGCAGTTATACTTTGAGAACTATGCAAACATCTGTGCTTTAGAGTAACAGTTTTCACAGTTTCATTAAACTTGTAGGAAGTGAAGAAATACTTTGAATGTAATGAGCACAATGGAAGTTACATTTTTATTGTTTGCTGGAAAAAAAATAAAGGAAACTTTTGAAATGATAAAGTGCCAGGGATGAGCCATGTAGAGAAAACAAGACAGCTGTTTCTTTTGGCTAGGACTGCAAGATGAAGTTACCCCTTTAAAAGAACTTTCCAGGCTCTGACAGAAGCTGACATTTTTTATAAACTACATAATTTAGGAAGTTACAGATTCTCCCATTTAAACAATTTATAACAAATTCATGCTGACATCTTAAGATCCTGAGAAACAGTAAAGGCTGGAGAACTACAGTGCAGAAAAGGTAACAGAAAAGAAAATAGAGGCGTATCACTACACAGTTTGTCTTTTTTTATTTTTTATTATTTTTTTATTGTGGAGTTGAGTAGATTCACCTGTTTCCTATGGATTATCATCCATATAAGTAACAGGAGTAATAGGAAGAGTAACTTCAACTTGTCTCACCTTTCTCAATAAAAGAAATGGGTTCAGCAAGAAGGTGAATTTGTGAGAAATAAGTCATATAGGGACATTGGATGCTGCTCCAGAATGGTGTTTGGTAGTTTTTGCTGATGTTAAAAAATGAACTCTTGAAGACACTTAAAAGGTGGAAAGAATGCAGAGAAGCTATCTTTTTTTGAAGTAGAATATCAAATATTGTTATGACCCAATAGTGAGATCTAGAAGTCTGTGGATAACAATGCCTCACAGTCTGAAGGTGGTATCTTTGATTAGTTTGTAATTTATAGCAGGTAAGTGTTGATTCAGGATCTGATTCCCCAGAATGTTTAAATTTATATGTAATGTTAATCTTGTGAGTAATCCTATTTAAGGAGGGGAGGCTACACGTATGCTGTGTCTGTTATGTGTGCTACACCTATTTTTGAACCACAGCATTAGGGAATGAGCTGAATTCTTTTGTAGAATTGTGTTTTTATAATCTCACAAATACTTTCCTGTACATTTCCTGTGTTTTCAAATAAATCAGGTGTCTTGAAATAGTAAAATACTGCAGAAAAACTATCTTAAAATGTGTAAAAGTTTTTCATATATATATATATATCACTAATAAAATGGTTGTTTTCCCATAAAAAATATTTAAAATATTTACATGGATTTTAAGAAATTTCTGCATTTGTCAGGAAAGAATAAATCTGTATTGATGTTTAATGCTTGTGTAAATAGCATTAAGTATAGCTGTTGATAGTACTTAATATGCTGATTACCTTAAGAGGAATACAGAGTTAAGTAAAAGTATCAGGCTGTGGCAGATCGCAGAAACACATGTCAAGCAGTGCACTACCTTTTATATGGGTATGTTTGGTTTTTAGTTGTTAAAACCTTGGAATTATTTGATAAAAGAAGATAATGCTATGTAGATTTTGCTTTGACTCCTACATCTTTTATTTGTATTTGGATATTTTATTATGTTACCATAGACCTTGCAGCAGTAGGTGTTAATAATTTACGAAAACATTTTCAGCACGTTAAAATGCATTTTGCTGAGCTTTGTTTTACGAAGCTTCCTTTGTCTGAGCTTTGTTTTACAAAGCTTCATTTGACTGATCTACAACCTGTTTCCAAACTAACTCTTAACCTTAGGTCAGTTGCACTCAAATTATAGTTCTGCCCAGTAGATTCACAACTGTGATGATTTCACAGTAGCTGTTATAAATCATAATTTAGTTGAGGTAATCTTTTTTGTAATATAAGCACTACTTATAGGGTGAATTTTGGTCTAAACATTTGTTTTGAACAATTCGCAGATGAAGAGGAAGGGGTTTTTTTATACCTTCATTTGGAGTGTTCAGTTTGAGAAAGTGATGAAGAATCATATTGGAGATAAAATTCCTGGCTGAATACTTTAAGTGTCTAAAAAAATCTCATAGAATGTCTTTTCTAAACTCTCTGAAGGCTACACCAGGTGAAGAAGTCCTGATTTGACACTGTTTATCTATATATACAGATGCATACAGAAGG